CTTCTTGCATTACCAACTACTCGTGAACTTAGTGCTGATGCTTAAGAACATGCTAAGCAAATCAAGAAGCTTCATGAAGAAGTTTGAGAGAAGACTATTCATCAAACTGGCAGATACCAAAAGCAAGGCAACAAGCACAAAAAACCAGCTAGTTTTAAAAAAAGAGACTTAGTGTTGATTCATTTAAGGAAAGAATGTTTTCCTAAGTCTTATGCAAAACTATCTCCTTGAGTTGATGGACCATTTCGAGTCTTGGAACGTATTAATGAGAATGCCTACTAGATTGAACTTCTTAGAGATTATGAAGTTTCGGTAACTTTCAATGTTGTTGATCTCTTTCTTTGCTACGGAGAACATGATGAAGATAAGGATCTTGAAGATGATTTTTCTTCGACCTAGAGAGAATGATACAAGAGTGTATTATTAGATTACTATTATTTAGGAATTATAGGTATAATAAAATTCGAATGATACAAGAGTGTATTATTAGATTACTATTATTTAGGAATTATAGGTATAATAAAATTCTTCTTTTACTTGTATTAGGACTTTAAGCTAGTCATGTTCTATTTAAGAATGAATATCTATTTTATTTATATCTCTAGTTAATTATTCTAATTGTATTCAGCAATTAAAAGTAGAGTTTTATTAGGATGTGGGCCTATAATACTATAAATAAGACCTTTAGACCCTTAGGCTTAGTTATGAGACATCCAAGTTGAGAGTGAATAAAAAATATTTTCTTAAGCAAGAGTGCTTATTTCTCTAGGCTCTTTTTAAAGAGTAAGAGATTTTTAGTATCTTTGGTCTAACCAAATAAAGTGAGATTTTGACTATTTTTTACCTTAGTAAGGTTTTCAACCTTGCCCAGATTGGTGATTCACCTTAGTGAGGTTTCTAACCTCACCACGTTTGGTGTCTTTCATAATGCCCAAGTGTCTTTACAGTGCCCCAACGTCAACTAGCTTGCTTGGTATTAATATTAGCAACAAGTAGGAAATCAATACCACGGAAATGGCACAAAAAACTTGTTGTCAATTTTATACATGCAAGTATACATATCGAATAAGAAATATAGATGTAAGAAGGTATCGTATCCCATTAGGAATTGTGCCTAAATTTTGACTAAGTATAAAAATTATAGCACCCTAGTCTTATCCAAACAAACTAAATTTTGAAAATTAATTAAAGGAAAAATTTAATTAACAATGCTAAACTAAGAAATGAAGACTAAGAATTACTAAAAGAGCAGTTGATTGAAAGCCTAAGATCATGGTATTCCTCAACAATTCATTTGGAAGTAATCTCTCTCTTTATACATAAATCAACGGGTTAAATTATTAGCCTAAAGTCCATATTTATCTACAAGTCTTTCTCTAGCTCTTGTACAAATACCTCTCATAATTAACTCATTATATGTCTATATGAATCTATTAAGGAAGGTTCATTAAGCTTATGCTCTAAATTTGGCTACATGTGGCACTTAAGTATATTGCCATCATAAATACTAATCAAATCACCTAGTCTCTAAGTGGAATAAACACATGCTATTCAAATCTTAGTCTATTTTCAGCTCCCGCCGTCAAGTTGCATTTAGAGACCCAAATCAATCTAATTGTTGATCAATCAATTAGAAGCAATAAGCATAGTTTTGAAATAAACAAGCCAATACCCATTAATAATAAGTAAAAGAGAGAAAATATCCAAATTACATGTTGAGATCAACCACGATCCTAGAAAAATCAATTTACTTCATAGTTTCTACAACAAACATCAACATCTCAAGAAAATAAACCATTTTTGCAACCAAAAAAAGAAAAAGAAAGGCAAATCTAGAAAAAAAGCTTATTTCAAAGCTCGATCTTCCTTGATTTCTTCCCCTTTCTTCTTTTGTAAAAGGTCTCTTTTTCTCCAGAAAGTGTCTCTAAAGAACCCCATACCCCTTTTTAGCCTTTGAAAAAGTACTATTTATACCTCTCTTGAAAGCCCTAAAATAAAAAAAAAATCAAAAAGTACAGATTTTTAAAGGTCACATGTTGGCGTCACAGCACCAATTGGTTTTTCTATTAAGGGTTGTGGCATCAAGGCACCATGGCCTTGGGTGGTTGGTGCCGCAGTGCCTTACTCTCTCTAAATTGTATGGGGTGTGGGGGCATCCCAACGCCACAGCCACGACCACTCACGATTGCAGCACCAAGCTCTCTTATGTTGACCATACTGCAAACCCTTCTATTACAATATGATTTTCTCCTATTTCAAAATTGATCTAGGCAAAATAGTAACATAAATGTTTTAGCTCTACCAATTATCTTTTCGTTGGTCCAAGAATCATATTGATTAGACTTCTGTAGCATGAGTTATACTCGAAAAACCACGGCATATTTAGGAGACACCTTTAGCCATACTTGCATTTTTCTTTGCCACTTGACCTCTTTTATTTTTAAGACCTTCGAGACATAGGAACTAAATCAGTCATAGCTAAAAATAGGCATTTTTGACATACAAATGAACTAAAATAACTTGAATTAACTTTGCATAACATTCTTTAAAATAATTAAAGAAAAACAATGAAAATTACCTAAAGTTGTACCTAAAATTCATAAATTTAGCTATTTTAGTATCCAAAATGTGGCAAGATTAACTCTATATAATAGAGTTATCAACCTGCAAAAAAGAAAAACAACCAACTGAAACCTTAAACAAAATAAAACTACAATCGAAGAAATAGAGATAAGGTAAGAGAAAATAACAAAAAAGTCGAAGAAGAAGAAGAAGAGATATGAGGGAATGAAAAGAGCAAATGAAACAAAGTAAGAGAGAAATTTTTTGAAGAGAGATGAAGACAAAGAAACCAAAGTGAAACAAAAAGACCCAAAAAAAAACCACCATGAAAATACTGAAGTGAAATGAATAAAGGAGTGAGCAAATGGGTGGATTGGGTGGTTTGATCCACCATACCTAAAGACCAAATAGACCAATCATTTTTAAAAAATCGACCAAAACTGACCAAATATAATGGAAACCAAACCAACCAAACATAGACTTGGTTTGGTTAGTCCGATTTTGAACCAAGGGACCAAAATTTTATCACCTTTTTTCTATAAATTATAATATTAAAACTTATAAACTTTATCTATAATTATATATATATATGAAATTAATAATAAAACTTATATGTTATAATGTTTGGTATCAAAGTTTGCATAAATAATAACTAATTATAAACAATATGTTATAAAACCTAAGGTGAGTGCTAATAAACTTATTAAGAGTAATCATATAAATAAAGTTTATTATAACTTATAGTAATGCTTATGTGTAAATTAAATATAATGTATACACATAATATATTACATTGTTATATATATAATTAATGATACAAATTATATGTTAAAATGTTTTATATAATCATATGAATAAAGTCTATTATAAGTTATAATAATGCTTATGCATAAATTAAATATGTATATATAATATATGACTTTATTATATATATAATTAATAACATAACTTATATGTTATAATGTTTTATATCAAAGTTTGTATAAATAATAACTAATTATAAACAAGATGTTATAAAATCTAAGGTGATACAATAAAGTTATTAAATATAATCATATAAATAAAATTTATTATAAATTATAGTAATGCTTATGTATATGTATATATAATATATTTATATACATAAATATATATTCGTACCATTTTATATTACAAAACTTTACTAAAATGTAATAATTATAGCATATTAATATGCAGGATATTTACTATCATATATTATAATATTAACATATAACTTATATCATTTAAAATATATAACTTGTAATTTCATATTAATACAGATTTATGAATAAATAAATATATATAATTAATATTAAATTACTATGATTATGATTTGTATACGTACATACAATACCCTAATATATTTTAAATATATTATTAATCAAGTTTACTATCAATTTTTCTTAATATGTAAAAAAAATTATATATATGACTATATATATAAATATATAAAAAATTAGTTTGAATTTTTTGGATGGATTGGTCCAAAAATTTTAAAACCGAGAATCGACCAAAAAATCAATTAGATCAATGATCCAATGAACCAATTAGACCGAATCATTTTACCAAAATCACATTTGATTTGAGTGGGTAATTGACCTAAATTGATTTTGCTCACCCTTAAGAGTGAGAGAAAGCAACAAAAAACTATAATTAGTAACAGGCCACAACTACCAAAAAACCCTTAACCTATACGTTAGAAAGACACAAAAGCTGCCCTTTTTTACAAAATGCCATCTACATCTCAAAATTCAAACCAAAATCAATCACATGTCCTTCAACTGCAACACCAAGTTTGATTCAATTGACCCCATTTAGGATCAATTTATTATATAGTATAGATTTTCAAATTCAAAGATTTATTGAATTTTTATTTAGCAGTGAAATTTTAAAATATTTATATAAAAATTTGTTAACTTAAATTCATCTTTTTACACCCTTTCAAATATATAAATAGATTAAATCTCAACTAATTTTTACATAATATGTGGATCTGATTTTCAAAATTTATAAACAACTAAATCCAAATAATCCACATTCTCAAAAAATTATGTTTTCAAACATAATCTTGTGTCCTCGTCGTTATGGTCTTGGCTTGGCATTATCTTGTGCTGGAAACCAATAGGGCAAGTCTTGCCTCATTTCGACCCAATTATCTTAGGCAACGAATGTCCCCTATAAAATTAATGTTTCGGGGTGACTTTTAGAGAAGTTTTTTCTAAAGATAAAAGAAAGAGGCTTCACAGAGTGTGTTTGATGAGGCAACCCGGGACAGCAGCAGAATGCCCACGCGTTCCATTCACTTCTTCCACCTGATTATGCACTAGTTTCTGAGGAATTTATAAACACGCTCACCGACCAGCCGCAATTCAAGCTGATAGGGACACTGTCGACCTTTCAACTTGCCTCAGAAAATACAAGATGGAGACGGTGAAGGCTTGGAAAATTTCAGTTTTGATACCTCATCAGTGACAAATGAGTATTACAATTAGCTTACGTATAAAGCTGCTGTCTCTTGGCAATATCTTTACCCATGTTACAAATGACAATGTTTAGATCAATATTCTAGGTTTAATGAAAAGAACGGTACCAAAAACTGAGAAGCAACTGCTGCTATATGCTTTTGGTGTGCTCACCATTTTGCCACTTTCTCATTTCTTTTCTTTCTCTGATCAACTATCATTTCTAACAGCTGTGTACATCAAACTATGTGTGATTATCAGGGGAAAATTTTTGTTCTCATGAGAAATCTACAAGAAGCTTTGAGACAATTGCTGCCACTATTTTGCGACCATGACATCAGCTACAAATTAGCTCAGTTGATTTTAGGTTTTGGTCGTCTTGGCTTTAGCACAATATATAGAACACCAAGAACAATCAAGAAAGCAGGAATTGTTGTCACATCAAACTCCACATCTACTTTTCTCTCTTTTGTGCACTGAATCGGGTGAAGAAGGGATATGGTTGCATTGACTTGATCAACAAACCTGCAAAAGAAAATGAAATTACGAGATCAGCCCCAAAACTTTTAACTGCTTGCAAATCATTGCTCTAACTATTCAGGAGAGAGAGACCCTGAAGAACAGACGAACTACAAAAAAGTGTATAGCATAAGTGGGATTGTTGGTCATCATTTGTGCTCAAACAACCAATTAAGACAGAGAAGCGTCCTCTGTCCCACAAGAGCCACAAGCTGCAATTCCCAGAACCAAGGAGCCAGCGAAACAAGAAGTCAGTCTATACATGGAGGCATTCACTTACTGCTCTTAGAGGTACAAACCCAAAATTGATATCTTACAAGAAGAAAATACACACACACACACATAAAGGAGAACAATTTTCCGCCAATGTGAGATAACAGTTCCTATTTCCCACATTGTTTTTGAGTGAATGGGAGGAAAGAGAGTAAAATGCTTCTAAGTGGCTTCTTAACTTCGTGGCAAAGGCACATTAGCCAGATCGATTGCCATGCTTCTCCATAAAGCACAGTTCAAATTCTCCATCTTTCCCCCTCCCATCCTGCCCGGAATTAGCTATTAGAAACGAACACAAGGAGAGTGCTCCTAATAATTTTCTTTCACTAGTTCATTTCAAGATCCCAAAGTTTCTTGAGGTTTCAGGTTCTTAATTAGGATCGACCAGAATTTCAACAGGTCATTTCAGTTCCATATAAACAGATGAATAAAATATACAGCCTCATGAATGGTCAAAATACCATTATTGAATTAATAATTGAAGTTCAGCTCATAACAGTAAAACCCTTGATAATGAATTAATCAAACCGCAATCAAATTAAATATCATAAAAATCTAAATCCTAGAAGATCTTTTGCATTTTTTCAATGAAACAGAAACATCGTACCATCAAATTCAGCAAAATGAATGGCTATTAAGAAATCAGAAAATACTACCGCAAAAATAGAACCATCATCCAATGAAATATTATAAACATATAAATCACACTTTTCACATACAAATATCATACCATCAAAATGCTTACTTCTAAGAGATCAGAAGATATTACAAAAAATTTGGTCATTTAGCAACAGTAGAAAAAGATTATGGAGTCACAGATACCATGCAAGTTGCCCAGAGCTTAATTGTACAACCCACCAATTCAGTTAATTGATTAAACAAAGTCAAATAAGCATCTCCATCAACAACATGCAGAGGACCAAAAAACATGAAACTTGAAGGCTGCATAAAAACAACTGCACAGAATATTTGCTTTCCTATTTTTATTTGCTTAGAGTTGCTTGAAGAGATTTATGTGCTTCAACTCATGTTCATCCCGGTACTTACATGTTAAAAGATTTCCCATCCTTTTACATGTTCTCAATAAGTATTTTTCTCATATTTTTCAGAAAGTATCACTTAAGAATTTCACTACACCACTTAATATTAAAGCAACACGCAGATACTCAAACTTTAAATATTAATAAAAAAATGCATCAGTTGCAACCGGCCACGAGCTCGTTCATCATAAGAAGCCTTCGTTTTCTAAATGACAAGATTAATCAATGCAATAAAGAAAAGAATTTATCTGCATAACTATTTAGCTATTTAACCAAATAAATAGAAGGGCAGCAAATAATGAAAAATGTTTAGCAGGCCAAACCCTTTGGTTGCTTCCTCTAAGGTATACAGCAGTCTCATGGCATCTACATAACGCAATTCTCCAGCAATAGTTGAAACCTGAAAAAGAGAAATGTACGTTAGCCTGTGAAGTAAAAGTCACCATCAACAGAAAAGTATAACGTGGTAGTAATTGAATTGATTGAGTAATATTAATCAAAGATTAAAATAAGCAAGTGCACTCACTCTTCTCCACAAGCTGACAACATAATTATACTTGTTCACTAGCTCACGCTCCTGGGATTGAAAGAGTTTAAAGGTTTTCTCAGCTGCTTTTTGTTAAGTCTCCCTTTGTAGAAACTCCATTTTTACCAAGTCAGGACTAAAGACAATCTAAAAGCAATTCTTGATTCAAAAGATGAAAGAAATAAATAATAGCAAGGTTTCAAGTATAAGAATTGTTAACTTAAAAACTAGTCTAACTGCAGAAACATTTTCTCATGGAACATTCATGCCATAATATACAGTACAAAGATAAGAAATAATAGGTATCAAACCCACAGCCCGGCTATACCCAAAACCCCAAGTCTATGATATGATTAGGGGATTATGAAAAGGTCACCTTCCTTGCATAATTTTATGTGTGAGCATGTGGTGTGTCATGTCTGGGTGCATGCATGCTATGCTTCTCAATTATTTATTTGCCACAAAAAAAGGATACTTGTACGCTCCCAGAGTAGAAGGTGAATGGCTGAATTGACCAGTTGTATCGACTCCTCAAGAGTTGTTATGATGTAGCTCCGAGCCATTGCATCTGATTGAAATTTTGATATGTGCCAACCTTGAGAAGTAATGGAGAAAGGGTTGCAACCCACCGACCATATCCAATCCTATCAAAAAACAAGCAACAAAGCTTGTTCATATTTTTTAGGGTGACCCTACTTCCCCGCTTACTAAAGCCTCTTCATTGCATATGTCATTATAGTACATGGGACTCACATGTTAAGCTAAGGACATAACATGCATCAAACAATCAAGTGTATGTGGGAATAAGGCAACCCAATTATTTATACATACTGTATTGACATATCAAGACCACCCATGGAGGCATTTCCTTTTTTTTTTTTTTCTGGCAGGTGTGCTAGGCCCTTGCTGTAGCACAAGGTGGGGGTAACAACACTGAAGGATACCCCCACCTCTGTGGCAAGCTACTATATGGGCCCTTCCCTACAAGGGGTATTATATCAAGTGAACCTGTACGCTCATGTGTTAGCAGATTCTAAACAGATAAGAGGAAATACCATACTCTCGTTTCTTCAGAAAAGAAGTTATCAGATATTACACTTAGTATCAACTGAACCCATAGGTCTCATGTTATCAGATTATAAAGTGATAACATGAGATACTACACTTGATCTTAGACTTTTTATCCTTTTTTTGGAAGTCATCAGATACTACACATAATCTTAGTCAAAAAAACATGTTCAAACAACCTGTGCCTATTTTAGGTGTTTCCATTTCATGTTCGGGAGGGATAGACACAGATAGTGAGTGGCAGATCAGACAAACACAAATATGGGTGTACATGTGCATAATGTGCTGCATCCACACGCACATCTGTGTGTGTGTATAAGAAAGCAAGAAGCGAGGGATGAAAACAACATGCACATCTGAACATATAGATAGAACTTGAAAGGATTTTATGATAAACGTGAATTGAATTTCCTCCACCAGGCCCCCCACAGAGAAGGAAAAGGCAAATTTAGACCATTATTCCCTTTGCTTAAATTTCCTAAGACTCTTAAAAATGGAGAAAAGGGATTGTTAAGGTTGACTCCAAGCATTTGCACTTATAAATCACAGGTGAGATTTCAAGTACATCTAAAATTTGCAAACCTCAATTGCAGTTTCATGGGCATGACTGTAGACAAAATGAAGGGGAAGCAAACCAGCCAGATGTTCAGAAACAGCAGCCAAAGCAGGCTTGACGGGCCTCCTGATTGCAGGGAAAAGAACAAAACAAAATAAAGATTAACAACGATCATGCATCTATCAGGTAATATGCTGCATGATTCATCAAATTTTTAAGTAGCGAAGGAAAATAAATGATACATTAACATACAATTGCTCTTTGGATTAATATAGTTCATAATGCAATGTCATTTAAAATAATCCTCTAAGTACACTAGGAAAAAACAATATCCAAAAACCAGCATCTTCAGCTTTTGCAACTATTTTAACCCAAAGCAACTTCATTTTTCTTTTTATGAGATTACATGTACAGGTAGAAATAGCAATTAAACAACCAAAATACATACGACAAAATTATTATATTCAATAGAAGAAACAAAACAAACAAAACAACAAACCAGCATAAAGGTAGAAAATTCCAGCATAAGCTGGACAACCCACACATGATGGGACTTAAATTTGAGACCTAAAGGTTCCAAGGCCGCTTCCCTGCGACTGAGACAAGGCCTCATAGGCGACCAAAAGAAACTTCATTTAGATATTCAATCAATAAGAGCGCAACAAGCTAATGCTTAGTCATTCTATGTCCAAGTATATAACAGAACATATGGCATAACTTGGCATAGCAGTGCTGCAAATAACATAGCAAACTTAAAAAAAGAATCCAATCTAGACAAACGGAACTGACAGTCTAATAGCAAGCTAGCTGTATCGAAAGATTAAAAGTTTAACAATAACTTCTTGACACTAGTTTTTACTTTTTACTAGTCAAGCCGATTGATAACTAAATCCTTAAAGGGGAGAACAGTTAATCAACTCAAATAGCAACAAATAAGTAGCAAGACAAACAATGCCAACTCTACTAGTAAAAACTAATCACTGTTCAAGCCAGCATAGGTTTTTCCTTCTGAGATATAATGCATGATGTAGCATAGCTAAAGGATGAACCCCCTCCCTTCTTTTATTTGTTGAAAAACACACACACCAACACCACCAACAACAACAAATAATGCCAGAGACAAACCTTAAATCCCACAAAAGCGATTTTCCATTACACTGCAGATGGCTCTCCCAGGATGAGGACTCTGATTGGACAACAATAACCATATCAGAAAGTGCCTTGGCCTGATAATGTTTGTCTACTAACAACGGATCAGTATGAATGAACCAAAAGATCGGAACTTCCAAGGTGGACCGGCTATGAGCATGTGATCCTGCATTATTTAAGAATCAAGTGTAATATTAAATCCAAAAGACAAAAACCAAACCACCAGTAATTTAACTTGGCTCCTACAAGTGAAAATGATACATGCCAGGTCATGAGGTCACATAAATACACCCTCAAATCCATATATTGAACGTCCACAGCTCATGCAATTTCAGGAAAAAGAAGTTTTGACATTCAAAATATTGATGCTCAAAGGTTTTTAATTCCCAAAATATTGTAAAAGCTTTGCTGAAAATTATTTTGGAAGTTAGAAGAAGTAAGAGCTTGAAGTGTTCAAAAAAGGGAGAGGGACAGATTTAAAATGTCGCAAAATGGAATGTTGACCAGTCAACTTGGAGCAGAGGGAGTAATAAAGTTTCCTATGGAATCAAGGGGCAGATATTTTAGGGATTTGTGAGTGGCAATATAAAACCAAATGAACAATAATGTCATGTAAGGAAGTAAATAAGGCTCCTTCAATGCATTTAGAGGAAAACTAGAATTGTAATTGCCATCTGCCACAGTAGCAGGGAAACTGAAACCAAACGGTTTTCAGAATAACAAACTAGAACCACCATCATAGGAAAACAATGCAAAACTGTTGCAATCTTTTCTTGTATTTCATAAAAGAAACAATTAATCAGACAGAAAAAGGGCATATTAGGATTTAAAGTACAAATAAAAGATATTAATGTTATTCAGCAATTAAGATCAAAAGTTTTTTATTTCACTGTGGATAGTCATCAAAATGACAATTCCAAAACCAAATTGATTTTATTCCCTCAGTGAGCAACTTGAAGACAGTAGATGACCTTTGAGAGATCCATGATTATTCAGCCTCTGCAACTGATGCTGGAGAATTGAAGAATCAAGATAGGAACGGATAGTTTTCCTATATGTTCCATTGACAAGCAAAAGTGGAACAGCTGCTGCTCGTCGTGCCACAGAAAATGCCATTGCCAAAGCAGGATCCTCTGAAAGTGATAACCTATAACTCTTACAAATTAGTCAACTAGGAACCAAATAAATGTAACAAAGACTACATCAGAATAGCAATAAATGAAGCATAGAATTCCTACACATCATTTCATGCAGCAACCTGAAAATATAGAATGATATGGGCAGCACTGCTGCATTGGTTTATTGAAATGGTTGGGGGTAAGCATTTGGGCAGAGATCTTCAATCCCAAGTTGTAGACTCTCCCATGCAAAACATGAGGCTAATCAAGGGATTAAACTAATTAAGATTCTATTTTGGTTTATTGTTGTGTTCTACAGGCATAAGTCTTAGATATATGTTTGAGTTAATTACACATTTGGTTGCCCAATTACAGTAAAACTGTCAGTTTGGTACCTGAAGTTTAAAAATACATGATTAGGCATTCAAATATTACTTCCATTAAACAATTTGCACCTTTCACTAATGATGCTATTCAAATGGGAGACGCCAAAAAACAGTGAATAAGGATGCTCCATGTGTCTAAAAATGTCACATCATTTCACCTTTTTAGATTTTTTTAAATTTTTTATTTTTGAAATTAAAAATACAAAATAATTTGGAAAAAGAAAATAAAAAATATATTTTTTCATGAAATTTTTACTTCAAAATTAAAAATAAAAGAAATTGGAAAATCAAACAAATTTTAAAAAAAAAAAACCTTTTTTACTTTCAAAATTAAGAAATAAAAAACTGGAAAGAGAAAATTTCAAAAAAAAAAAGAAAATTCAAATTCAAAAACTTAAAAACTAAAAAACTAAAAAAAAATGGAAAATTAAAGAGAGAAAGAGAGAGAGAGGGAGAGGAGTCAAGGGAGAGAAGGAAAGGGAAGAGAGAAAGATGGGAGGGGTCAAGGGTGAAGAGGAGGGCGGCCAGTCATCGATCTGGCCAGCTCAAGGCAGATGGCCCAATCTGCCTCGGACCAACCAGCCCTCCTCCTCCCCTCTCTCTCTCTCTCTCTCTTTCCTCTCTTTCCTCTCCCTCTCTCACCCCAATTTTTGCTTTTTGTTCTTATTTTTTCTTTTATGTTTTAATTTCAAAAATAAAAATTCCAAAAAAATAAATAAATGCCATAGCATTTCCAAACTGTATGCATTTTATTGGCTGTATTTTGCCACATCAATAAATGGTGCAAACTATTTTGAACAAGTAAAATTTGAGTACCTAATTGCGAATTTTTACATTTCAAGCATCATATCGACAATTGCACTATAGTTCGGGTGCCAAACACATAATCAACCCTTTAAATTTCTTCAACTGAGAGTTGTAAGTTATTTTATTTTTCTGTTTACTGAGTTTATGTCAAGGGTATTATTAAAAAATTTTCCAGCTTGCTGGAAATTTCAGTTCTCTTCTCTAAGAACTTTGTTTGAGTTTTCACTGTCCTAATAGGCTTTCTTTTAAGTTTAGTTTGTTATTTTTTCTATTTGTAGTCCAAGTATAGTCATACTTCGAATAGGAGTTATAATTCTTTTAGAATTAGGGTTGGTAGGAGCCTATATAAATATCAAGGTACCATTTCTTTTTTTTTTCTATGATAATGGTACTCTTTCTTTTGGAACACAAATTGTTACAGGAGATTTTTCAGCATTGTTGCTATTGTGCTCATGATGAAAACAACCTTAGGTGTGTGACTCCCAAGAACCCTAGTCTCTCCCTTTAAAGCACCCATGTTCTTTTCAGAATGTCCACCCTTGTACATTTTTTCTAAAAACAATTAGTGATTGCAATCCTAAAAGTTCTTACATGTTTTATCTTCATCACAAAACCCTCACTAATTCTCATTTCAACACTACATGCTTTCTCCAATACTAAACTCTCTTTTCTAATCCATTCAGTATGAAAACGTTTATTTTAATTTTAAAATTAATTCCACTGCATATCCTTCAAATCCTATAAATATAAATGAAATCGTAGACTTAGGTGCCAAAAAGACAACCAGATTTATACAGTGTCATCATGCGAAACAAATAGTTTAGAACAGAAATTAAAAAAAATAAAATATACGTAAAAAAGAAGAATACGAAACAAAATATGAAACATAGAATGATTCAGAATGCATACACATCCTGACTGAACATGACTTTCTGTGAAGGTATCAACAAAGAGGAAAGCCCATCCTGGAGAGCCTTTAGGTCCACTGGCAATTGTTTAATATGTCGAACTTTCTGCATCAGTAAAGTTAGAAAAAAACAATTTAGTATTTTTAATAAATGATCCTTGGAAATTTATGACACACACCATACCTCTTGTGTGATGAAAAACAATTGGTACGAAATCTTCTCATAATAATGGAAAGCACCATCAGCAACTGAAGGAGATATGATGTGTCTCACAGATCCCCATAGGGTCGCACCAAGGTGTGCAAGGAAAGTATCCCGGGCAACTGTGTAGTTTTGGAAATCCTGCACAGAAACAACTCAATGCCAACGAACTACAATTTCTCATTTCAGGACAACCATAGCTTGAATTTTGGTGTCATTACTATAGATGACCCCTACATGTCCTAAAGAAAATGTCACACTAGTATTTTTCAAGGAAAGATGGATACCTCATGAGTATCACTGAACAAATTCCAGTTCTCCATTCGTTTTAAAGCATCTATAGCCTTCCTCCGGTGGCTTTCATCATATTCTTCACCTTCAAATGACTGAAGTTCATCTTTTAAATCCCGCATTCTCTCATCAAGCTCTGAAATCATAAATCTTGGAAGTTGCATAAACTTAACAGATATTTCAAATTAAAAATTTGCAAAATATAAAATGCATAGCACCATAACCCTTGCATAAAAACAATTTTAAAGGACATTGAATTTTATGAAACCATTATCTTAGATGGACTCAGCCCAACAAAATAAACAAAAACAATAATTAAGAGAACAAATATGTAATGAGAATCATTTAGGCAGTTAAATCTGAAAGAATGATTTTAGATTTCAGACTATAGATTGTCCATTGCAAATAAAACAAGTGACTCAAAGTAAAGATTTCATTGCAAAAGCATGAGGGGACAAAACAATAAATCTTCATTGTAAAAAATCTCAACAAGAATGGCCTACCTTAAAACCACCTACCGACCACACTAATAACCTATGTTGCTTTGACTATTCGTGTTCCTTAAAGCACCCGTGTTGAATACATATCCAACAACTCAAAGTGGGCTCTAGGAGGAGGTATAGCCCTCCAAATATAAGGAAAACATAGGATAATGTCCCTAGAGCAACATATCATGCCTTGCCCGGCAGTTTTCCTAAAAAACTGGTCAGAGAAATATTAGCAATTCAAGGTAGAAATAACATGAAGCCTACCTTCACAAAGAGCGAGCTTGACTCTCCTTCCTTTGCAATGCTTGAATGCAAAAAGCTCATAGATATCAATCTCTGCTAGAAGAATATCAATTGCCTGATGATCCTTCTGCAATATTAAAATGCAGAATCAAATAAAGCAGAAAACTGCAGAAACCTAACAGAGAGAGAAGCTTCAATTATGTATAAGCCTCCAAAACAGTAGAGAAATTAGTTATCAGTGTAAGCTTATCTTTGATAGAGGTCTGCCTAAAGAAGAATATGCTCCATCTAGAGATGAAGAACCCATTGAGCACAAACAACAGTCAAATCAACAACACCAACAGAGACTATTTTAAGGGCACATCAATGGCTTCCAATCTTATGAATATACTAATAAACCAATGACTGCCAAAGTCACAGAACGATAACTGATACACTGACACACTATGCAAGTGTTCAGACATCATAAAATCACATAAATTACGACTAATTTTCTTTTCTATATTTTTTTCATTTACGCAAAACTTGTCTTAAGGAAACAAGGAGCATGCGGAAAAAGTGAGAGAAAATTCTGTTTTCAATACCAAAAGGGTTATATTACGCAAAAATTGACACAAATGGAGCTATAATTTAGGAAGAGAAGAGGAAGATATCAAGAAAAAAATTACCACTTTACAGGAAAATGTGAAAAGCTTCAATACTTGATGAGAAAAGACAAAATAGATGAACTCATCCATAAGTATATATATGTAATGTGTTCTAGATAAATAAACAAATACACACACTCAACTTCCAGCACCTTGAATCTTTATTGAAGCAATGCACTGAAAAATGAAACCCTTTAGATAACTAACTTTCGACTGACAAGATACGAACCCTATATGAATTTCATTATTAAAAATAAAGAAACACTCTCCTTAGTTCAAATACTACCATGACTCTGTGATGCATATAAAGCAACAGTTTCTACCGTTCATATGAGCATGTGTGAGTTAGCATCTACGTATATTCACATGAACATGCATATAAAGTAAACATACATCACCAAATACAGCAAACTTTTCCTGAATTGCATCTTGCAAGCGATCTTCAGCTTCATCTTCAGAAATTTCTACTTGCCACAACAAAAATAAAAGTAAGTGCAGATTGAAGGAAAACAAATAAAAATAATAAAACATACAGATAAACACAATATGAGATAAGAAGGTTGATTATGTATGATCTAGTATGTGACAGTTGCAACATGTGATGTAATAAACATTTTAGAAATCCCAATTAATTAAGCAGTTATCATTAAGACAGCAAGCATAATAAAAATCAAAGAGACTAAAGAAAGGTCCACTAAGTTTCCATAGCAGGGCTAACAAATCCATACAGGATGTTAACAAGCAAGAGTACAGTACCATTATGACCATCCTAACAACAAAATAGGAAAGACCAAAGACAGCAAGCATAATAAGAATCAAAAAGACTTAAAGAAAGGTCCACTAAGTTTCCATAGCAACACTAAACAAATCTATACGGGATGTTAACAAGCAAGAATTCAGTACCATTATGGCCAAACTAACAACAAAAAAGCAAAGACCAATTTTCAAGAATTTACCAACAGCAGTTGATAACAAGCGAGCATTAGTTTCATTTACATCTAGGAAAGTTCCAGCATCACCCATATGAATGATTCAAACACAAATTAATAAATAAATGAAAATCTAAACAAAAGAAAAAAAGAATGATTATAGCACCTTCAACAGCACCGATGGTCTTTCCCACATTTGGCAAACTTAATTCTGTTCGCACACCTTCTCCACCAACAGCAGGTCCCCACGAAAAAGGTCCAGCAGTCAAATCGATAAAAGCCCACCTGCTACAATAATATATACATATAGAGACACATTTTTTAGAAAGTCTTTGTAAGAGAAAGAGAGAGAGAGGAAGTAAGTGAAAAGAAGATATTTTGAACCTGTCCTTTCCAATCCATGTATCTGTTAGACATTCTGCATGGTGGTCACTGAACTCCCCAGACCTTAATTCCCTTTCAAGAAGAAGCTTCATATCTTCATTCTTCCCGTTTAATAACTTGAGTGTAAAAAAAATTAAAAAAAAAAAAGGAGAATGTTAAAACAAAAGTTGCAGACTTGTCAATGCCTAATGCTTCTTGACTGTGCATCTAAAAAAAGAGATATGAGAAAAAAGACTAGGTACCTGTAAAACTTTATTCTGAATGATTTCAGCAGTGTCCTTTCCTTGATACAACTTATCAACATTGGTCAGTGCATCTACGCAAATATTGTACCATTCCACCTAAAAATTTTATCAACCATAATAGCCAATGAAAATATATATGAAAGAAAAAAAATGAGGCTCCAAGTTGCCTCTTTGTGAGCAACAAAATATTAACAAATGAGATAGTTTACTCTTAATATAAGCAAAATAAGGATTGAAATTTCTTGCATCCTTTTGACATTAGGATCACTCGACTTTTATAAAGTTTTTAAATTTAAAAACAGGTCAAATATTCAGATATCCATACTAAATCAATAAACTGAATTGGGGAAGTAGAATTAGTTACAAGGCTGAGAATTCAGTATTACAAGTTTACAACCAAATATACTCATTACCAGGTCAAAGTCAAAGGAATGAAAAAATACACCAGGTTCATTACTAATTTTCCGCATACAATAAGCTGTGGCAGGGAAGTAGAATTGGTTAGAACGCTGGGATCAATATTGCAAGTTTACACCAATAAACTCCGATTACCAGATTAAAGTCAACGAAATGAGGCAAACACATAGCATTTGGAAAAGGGACAAACCGTATCAGTTTCTTCTGTAACTGTCCATGCAAACTTTGCCATAGGATGCTTTCCATATAAAGGTTTCTTAATCTTATCAAGAGCTGCAGATTGTTCAGCACTTAATAATATTAATTCTTATAGAAATAGTGTAGGAATAAATTAGCAAGAATCCCAACAACTGCAAAGAAAAATAAAATTAAAGAGAATAAGAACCAGACAAAATTCATACCAAGAACACTTTCTGGAATATGCCCTGACTGAAGAATTTTACTTTGCAGACTCTTATCCTGAAAAATAAAAGTTGAAGTAAAGCAGGTTTTCGAGTATGAATGTACCAGAGAAAATGGAAACAGGCAACAAATATTCTGCTACAAATTCACCAAACTAAAAAAGAATTTAACAAGTACAAAAGGATGATGAAATATATTTTACAATAAAACTGAAAAATGATAATAGATAAAACAAACAGCAACTGGAACAAATAAGCGAGAAAAGAAACTCATATGTACCTCTTTCAGAAAAGTTATTTCTGACTCAGATAAACCTCTCCTGCCAATTATTTTTTTAAAAGTAAAGACTTTAAGATAACAGAAAACAAATAAAATAGATGAATAACTGATAGAATATATAGAAATTGAGTTTAGGTATAAAAATTAGTTTACTACCAGAAGGAGTAACTGATCCATATAAACAAATAAACAAACAAGCTCAATAGTCTGTGTATCTGTGGAAGTAGAGCTGGATTAGAGTCTCACACATTGTAATGATAAGTGAGACTAAGTACAAGTTCAATCATACAGTACTCCAATACCAACAACTTAAGGGGGAACATTAAGAATTTATGTCACCAATTAAATTGTGGGTTAGCCTAGGCAATCTGGAAGGGTGGTTTAACATTGACACTGGAACATGTTAATAGTGTACAAGTTAGTAACACATTGCCTTGCTGTTTGATCTTTGAAGTATAAAAAGATACTTGCTAGGACTGAAAAGTTATGCACCGTGTTCTCAAGATTTCGAGGTTATGGTACGGAAAGACCATTAATAGTGCTTTCTGTATTTATTTATCTTCGTTACGATTATGGGATGTATAGCACTATAGATCACTCACCTCTTCTAAAGGTTACACAAATCCAAACCCCATGTTTTTGTATGGAATTCAGATCAAATAGACAACTCTTATTACAACCACTTTCATGTGCAGATCTAATCCATAAATCAAGCGTGAAATTAACCCTAGATGCCACCATTAAAGAGAGAGCCGGAGGAAGAGTTGTAAGGAAATAAGCAAGAAAAGAGAATGAAGAAAAGGGAGAGAATGGAGAATGGAAAAAAAAGTGAACATGAAGTGAAAAGGTTACAAGGCAATAGATAAAAAATGGAGATAAGGGTATGAAGATTCTGGATCTAGCCCAGTAGAAATGGTGATTCTTTTCCAACAACGCCACATATTGAAGCCTATATAATATTAATATCTCTGTTATATGCCCATGTAAAAGAAACAAAAAGGAATAGCATAGCTGAGCTACTTTGGTTTTGGATCAGCATAGGCCCAATTTGGTATTTAATTTTCTTATTCTGAGCCAATATAAATGCCTCGAAGATTTCTGTCAAACATAAAATATGGCCCAAGTAATTTCATGTTACCTAAAATTTTAAAACGTATCCATGTATGCATATCATTTTTTCAAACACCTTAGCCAGATCCGTGAGTCCAAAATTTTAGAAAATAACAAGTCAAACATCTAGACACATACCCATGACAGACAATGATACCTGAATCCAAGTAACATAGGTTCTTCCAACAAACTTTGTGATATCAGTGCCCTAGCGACCATGCTCAAAGCTTCTTTAGAGCTAAAAACTGGAAAAGATCGTCTCTGTTTCTACTCAACACATAACATGCATGTCATGGCTTGTCACTCATCCAACATGTTGGTGACAAGGAAAAATGCATTTTTAACTGTCTATATAATTAAGTTGCTAGCATTAGGTAAACAGATGAAGAGGAAAGAGAGAACAAAAACAACCTATTTGTGATTGTATTAACCAATTTAGCCAGCAATAATATACATAGTCTCACTCTCAGCCGTTCAAGGAGACTGCATGCAACTCGAATCAGTCCAATTTTCAAAGATGTGCATGTGCAGTGCAGAGAGACTGAGAGAAGTAAAACATGGAATATTAATTCCTATTCACAACTTCCAAAACATGAGATTTTAGGCACACCAACTTCACATGAATTTTAGTCATAAATAGAGGGAATGCATTGAGCGATAGATTCATCCTTCAGAACCAAAATCGATTTTCCAGGTCTCCAACAGTTCTATATTAAACGGATGCTTCAGTCTTAATCAAAAGATCTAGATTTAATAGTAGCACACCACATATTCCACTCTGTTTTATGTAGCCTGCTGCAACATCAAATACCTACAAAGGTAGACCCCACACCAGCTTATGTTGGAAGGCAAAAGGACAGAAATCTACCTCAGTTAGTTGGTAGGAATCATGAAAATGTTAAGAGCAATAGCTGGAACTAAAGGCAGGAGTTTGATGGGCTAGTTCATAAGGATGGTTTATGAATTCGGTCTTGTTTGTCCTAAAAACAAAAGGAAAGAAAATAAAGAGATTTTCTTACTAAAATAAGCACCTGTAGCCGTATTTAGCTTTTTTCGCATCAGGATGGGGATTCAAAATGAAGATGTTATATGCATCTTCAAGCTGCAGGTATTCAACAAGACTGGTGAAAAGAACATCCATCATGTCTGCATCCACTTGCCAAAGAGAATCAGTGCCATCCCTGTCAAGAGTGAGCCATAATAATACTGAATGAAGCCAGAGATGAAATTCAGATTAACAAAACCTAAGCCAACCAAATAAGTTATATAATTTCTAAGAAAGTTTAACAATCTACAAAAAACAGACTGCACATGAAGACTGTGCTCTTAACTCATAAAACTCTTAATTATTGAAAGTTTCCATCAAAACATTTAATATTGAATGTTTTCCTCAACTCATGTGATTTGAAACATCAAAAGTTCATAAATCTGCTAATACGGAACAGAAGGATCCTAAACTTGAATATGCCGCACAATGTAGAACACAATACTGGAGTATGATCCAAACGGTGCTACTAAACATGCAAGTTGCATTGATAGGTCCCCCTATAAGTATAAAAAGTATCAAGAAAGCAAAAATCTACAATTTTATTTTCTCATTTGAATTATATTATAGTCTACCATAATGGTAGTAAGCAATGGACTTTTGAGATGTTTGAGCAAACCATGAAGTATCAAATTCCCAATTTAGCAGTTCCCATGAGCAAACGAGATTTTTCAAGTTAAAAGAAGGAATACATAAGTAAGATTTACGCTTAAATAACCCCCACCCCCCACAATTTGAAATAATAAAAAATAAAGCCATGTTATATGAGTAAGAAAAACAATAAAACAAAAGAGAGTTTGGGTTAGGACATGTTTCACCTGTCACCTGATACATCATCTCTGCGGGCTAAAACATTGATGGCACGCTCAAAGATAGAAGTCACCTTTTCACCCATTTGTATGGCATGGACAGAGAAACTGCAGAAGCAATTAATCATTACAATAACAATAATGAAAACCTCATTTTAAGAGTTTCCTGGAAACAAATCCTGTTTAGCATAACTTTCTAGTTTCTAGATGATGCCAGCATGTGTATAAATCAACAACAACTATCAAAAAGTAAAAAATAAAAACACAAAGTATTACTTGTAATTTATATGACTGATGATGGGAAGATGGTGATGTTGCATTTTATCCATGCTAATTTTGTAAAATGGAGTGAGAAGCTCTCCAATTCGCGGAACTCGTGTATGTGCAAAGATGTGATCGATTTTGGTGAACCACCGCTCTAGTTCTTCAGGATGAAGCTTGAACTCTATTTTACACACACATAAAAGTGATCAAGGAAATATCAGAATTACAAGTATTATTAAAGTGAAAACAAAAAACAAAAATCAATACTTAGTGAAGTAAAAAAGAAAAGTGAAGTTTGGGCTACTACCTTGGTTCCCTTTTCCTTCAAATCCTATAAAAATGAAATTGACAGGAACTGGAAGGTACAAAGACTCTACTTCCATAAGGTTTAGGTAATTTGCAATGTTCCCTGACATAGCGAGACACTCAGATGGTGAATTGAAATGCTATTCCTCAAATGTTAGAGCAAAGCAAAACAAAATTAACGTACCTGCCTTGGTGTAGTTGTGAACACCCATTGAAGAAGGGCTGGTGGTTTCTAAATCATGGAAATCTGTACAAGGAGAGAAAAAGTTCTTGTAAGAACAAAAAAATATCGAGGAAATTCTAAAGAAAAAATGCATCGGTACCTTCACGTATGATAGCCTCACTCCAAAACCTACTCTTCTCTTTAAGATTGAACAAAGAAAAAACCGAAGACGAAGAAGACTTTCCACTCTTACGACTTCCGACTGTGCCTTTTGCGACCAACTGATTATCATCATTACCAAATCAATACAAAAAAACAATAATAATAATAATAATAATAATAATAATCTTTAACACGAAGAAATTTAAAACCCTTTCCCAAGGTGAAAATTTGAAATTACCAGTAAGATTATACAAACAAGGAGCATAGATCTAATTCTATCCATCTTCATTTCCAGTGAGAATCTCACTCTCAGTCCACGCCCAGCTTGCCTGCCCTCTGATTTTCTTCCTTTCTTTTATAAATTTATTAGCACCGACGATGAGAAAGGAGGAGAATTTAAAGGGCACGTCACATGTGCTTACCTGTCAGCTTCCTCCATCTCATCACTACTATTTTACCCATTTGTTATTACAAGTTCAAAAACATTTTTATCTAAATAATTTTTAATTTTTTGACAAATAGGATCATTTTTTTGTTAATGAGGAGGTTTCCAGTGTTACACAGCAGGATTTATAATAGGTGCAGAGTTTGTTTGGGTAATATCATGATTATCTTAAGTGTTTGATTGGTTTTCATTAAAATTTATTTTTTACAATTTTTATTTTTTAAAAATAATTTTTGAGTTTAGACATGTTTATGAAAGAAAGAAAATTATTAAATAAATATTCAAATTAAATAACCCAAAAAAATAATTAAAAATATATCTAAATTTACATATATTAGAAGTTATCTCGAAAGAAAATAATTAAAAGAACAATTGAGTAACACATAGTGATGTAACTGATATTTTACTGGGAGTTGTATTGGATCAAGTTTTGTTTATTTTTTTTCTTTTTCTGATATATTCTCTTGATGATTCTTCTTTTCTTCTCAAATAGTTTACAAGACCAAATCTCCAAATATTCCTTCCACACTCTTCTTTACATACTATTTTTCTCTTTTTTTCCAATTAAATATAATATTTCTCTTTTTTTTACTTGAAATTAATTTTACAGTTTAATATACTCAATCTTCGTGTTGAAACTCTCAATTCTCTCCTTAGTAGACTTGTCAATATGGGTCTAGCCCATCGGGTTGACTCATTTTTAATTAAAAATGAGGTGGGTTGGGTCATAAAATTTAAGCTTATATTAAACCCAAGCTTAAATGGGTTAGCCTGTTTGGGTTAAGGGCTAACCCAGGTTGGTGCGGGCCAGCCTGATGGGCCAAAAGAAAAAAAACGTGTTTGTATTGAATTTTTTGGCTGGCAGCTTGACACCGACGCATGGGCACGGGGCACCGCATGGTTCGCACCGCATCTCTTCAGTCTTTAGTCTTCTCTAGCGAAATCTACTTTCGCAAATCCCCATCCCCATCCGGCCACCGACTGGCCATCCCCATCCCC